AATTGCATAATAATCGTCGCGGTCGACATGACAAAAAAAAAACATGCCAACATTATTCATTTTTGCCAATCTGCATCGACTTGCTGATCCCCCATTTGGTTATACACTCGAAAAAAAAGTAGGCCTATCAATTTGTTGACCGGCGGAAGGAGGAAACAGGTTGAAAAAGCACGATGACCTTCGGCGTATTCCAACTTGAGCGTATGTTGCAAATCCCTTCCCGTCATGTGACCAAACGGCGCCGGCGCAAAAATGATAAAACGAAATCCCCTCCAAAAAATCGCCATCGAGGTTTAATCCAATCAAAAGTTTAAACTCGTTTTTCGATTGAAGTCACTTTTTGTGTGGATTTTGCCAAATCCATCAGTCCAACCGATTGGTTAATATGCATCAAAATAACAAGTGGTGGTATTGAGGTTTAACTGGGGGCGAGACAGGTTTCTCCAGAAAAAAAATGATCTAAAGGCCATTTAAGAGGAAGGGGGGGGGGGTCGGAAAAAAATGAAAACATCATTATGTACATAAGTGGAATATGTGGGTGGAATGACTTAACAGGGCAATTTGTAGGACAAGGTTCATTTCTTCTCAAACGATACTTCGGAACAGATGGATGTTGAGTTTGAATCTGTTATGTGAAACAATTTAAAAAATAAAAATTGAGAAAGCATCGCATGGACATGTGGTCCGAGTCGACCTGATGGCCCAAGCCGATCCCGTTGTTAAGCAGGCTCGAATCCGAACAGCAGACGCCCATTCTACTACAAACACCGAACAATCGGCGGCATTGTCCTCAATTACGGTTCATTCGGATTCGTTTTGCGAAATTTTCAAATCTGCATTTTTAAAACTGGTATCGTTATGACTGTTTTATTGTTTTCCATGACTACTTGTATAATTTAAACGAATTCATAATCGACATTCGGCATCTGCTATTGAATTCAATGAATTGTTGAAAAACGATGTCTATATGTCTACAATAAGCGTTGTCTTAAAGCCGTGTTATCGGTTTTACGGAGTAGCATACACAATTTTTGTCAAGGATTTTATAGTATTTTTCCGAGAAATCCAGAATAACCAGACAATCTGATCTTCTGCATTATGAAACTTTAATCGATTGTTTTATTTATTCTAATTGCGTGATTTAAATGAGTTTACTCAATTTTTTTGGAAATTTCTTGATATTCGAATATCAAAAAAAAAAAAGAAAATATTTGTAAATTGAAAAGAGAAACCTAAAATCAGTTGTTTAAAAAATTTTGAAGTTTCCAAAATTCAATGAAATTTTTATTACATGTGGCGAGTTCTATGATTTCATTTTATTTTTCAATTTCAAACCATGGTCTAGAAACTGAAGATCAAAATTGTTTAAGTGTTGTTCCCAACATCTGATCTAGCCTCATAAACTTTAACAGCTTGCCAAAACGAAAGTTTAACACGATTGGAAATAAGCAATCGGTCCCCAGACGGATCAACAGCGATCCGGAAAATAATGACGATCTACACACTGACAAAACTTCAGCCAATTATTTGATTATGTGAATGTTCATATATGGACACTAATTGAAGGCAATGTGTTTACACATGTAAAACAAACAAACAAACGTTTTTATTTCGAAGTAACATGATTTTTATTTCGGCGGAAAACACGTTCTCGAACTTGATAAACCTCTTGATTACTGTTTTATTCACACCATAACCGATGAACGATAACAATTGTGGGAAAATGTGTTAGCGCAGTTCGATGAATGTTGACGGATTGTCGAACCAAGCAATTTTTTTCGGCCTGTCACACGGGGAAAATGTTTGCAAATTTGTCGTGCTACTTTGAAATTAATGTCACGTATTGTTTAGAATGAATCCATTGAACAGAACGATGGTTGAGGCAGTAATTTTAATAGCGTCATAAGAGCAATAAAAATGACAAAATTAGTAAAAAAAATTAATTTCAGCATTTATATGGAGCGTAAATTGTCTATGTGTCAAAGTACGATACAGTGAGAATTAGAGAAACGTTGAATTTTTGAAATTTTTCTTTAACTAAACGATATGACTATGCAGATTTTGAAGAAAAACTAAAAAAAACCGATTACATAAATTTAATTTTTTGAATGGCTTTCTGATGGTTTTTTCTTGCCCATTTTTGAAACTTTGCTGATTTCCGAACATACGTTTTTCGACGTATATCCTTTCATTTGTGTTAAAGAATTTAAAAGTGAAGAGAATTCCCGTTGAGACCTTGCAAAAGAAGCTTGTTCGTAAATGTACCCAAGCCCTCTACTTGATTATAGATTGTTTAAGCAAAACTGAAAAGTGTCAATTGCAATTTCTTGTGTTATGATGCTTCTAATTTAACGTTTCTCCACCTCATTTACACATTTGTCGGTGTAGATTTTAATTGTTCGAAATGTTAGCATTAATTGATACAATGTATGAACAAGTATTCATTCTCATTTTCCTTTTGTCAAGAGCGAAATTTATTTCTTTATGCTTTATTAATCAACAGCATTTAAAAATTATTCGAACTTTTTTGCGATGTTTTCTTATATCACTTATTCGGTTTTATAGTGACTATCAAAATTTTTCGAATTTTGTGTTCTCTGTCGCTGTTTCTGTGTATGTGCGAGTGCGATTCCGACGAAAGCAAAAGTAAGAAAAAATTTTTGTTGGTGTTGATAATAATATGAAGTGAATAATGACGACCTTCAATGCTCAAGGTCGCACTTGGCACAGTGCCCGAACAGTGGAGCCCTTTCCGAACATTACAGTCAGTAATGATATGTATTGTTGACGGACCGCTCATTTCGTTTCAATGAATCATAATTGACGATGGCGCAATCGAGACTAACCTTCAATTGATAGGCACACGAGAAAAATAACGGAAGGAAATTGTTTTTTGAAGAGCGAATAGGATACGGTGAGGTGTGAATTGAAGATAATATTCGGCTGCAAAATGATATCACTCATTATAATAAGGAGCGATCGACGGCGGCGGCGAACGCGCTTCCGCTTCCGGTCATTGCCCAAGTTTGGCAGTTTAATTGGACACAAAAAAAAACCGATCGCGTGCAGATCTTCTTCTATTATAGATGAATTAATGAATATATAAAAATTGTGTTCATTTCGCTTTGTTTCTGCAAACCGCATCGATGTACTTTGTTCTGCGCACTCTTGAAATCACCGTGTCTTTCGAATAATCGTCGAAACATTAAAGAAAACCGAACGCTATCAAATCTGAGGTGAAGTGACAGTTGCGAATGCCACACGAGAATACCGACTGATGTGATTTGAAGTCAAGACAGAGAGAGAGAGAGAGAGATTAAGTAGAACACAACGAAGCTAAAGTGCGTTCCACACGTGACCTATGAAGGACAAAAATTGAGCCCGAAATACGCTGTAGAGGATATTTCAGTGTCACAGACTACACGGATCCGTGTTCGCCGCGGATCCATCTCGCCTACAAAAATTGTAATTAAGAGTCCACCCAAAACATCTTAACCCTAATTAAACGTCATGTTTCAAAGTTCAGTAGGTTTCTTGCGAAATCATGCGCACTTTTGCAGACGTCGCTCCGAAACCCGATTGCGCTCATCCATGTTGGCTTTTTTTCTTGTCCACTTCGCGCTTGTTTCCACGGCTCATCAACACGACAAAAGATGAATCATTGTCGCGCAACATAATTGATGACATCGTTTCAAGAAACGGGACAATCGGAAGGCCCCCCCCCACCCAAAGCAACAAATTATCCGCACTAATGTGCATCATCATCACCACCAACGGAAATGTCGTAGACCTCAAGTTAAGAAAATCTGTCTCCGACCACCCTTCCTTCATGTGACTTGCCAATGTGGAAGGCACTTTCTGGAAAAAACGCTAGAACCTACGACAATTAACCAAATGTATGGCCAAAGTTTATAGATTAATACATGTTTATATTTTGCAAAATAAATAGGAAATGATTTTATTGGACTGGGTAGATTTACGAGCATGCGTCTTTAAATCAACACTCCAAGAGCTATGCTTTTTTTAAAAATAAATTAGTTGAATAATTGTTGTACGCCGAACGAAGCTTGCACGAAAATCTAACGGCTTGTAGCCTTGGTATATGGTTCGTAATCGCATACGACGACTTCGATCTTCAAACGCGGCCTAATGTTATAGCGATTTCATCGTATACAATTAGGATTTCAAAAATTCATGTTACAATCGTATGCGACGAGAAAAGGCTCTACGTCTACTATTTTGAGCGAGTATGCAAGATCAAGTTGATATCCATTAATTTATCTCAGCCTTTCAATAATCTTAGCGTATTCACCCTAATTTTTTTAAATAAAAATTATTTCACAAAACTGGATCAGAAAACACCAATCCTATAACTGGAGCAAGGTTATCCTCCCAATTAATTAATTGCGAGAGCATCTTAAACTTTGAACGCCTACAACGAAACGAGTCGCAATTTGGAACAAGTTACAACACCATAAAAAGCCACTACGAATTGCTGCTATCAATGGTAATAAAAACCACGCGAAGGATATCGCAATCCCCCGCCGACCGTCACTCTTCCTCCACCTCGAAGCGTTTGATTGGGAAGAAAAAAAATTGACCTCCGAACTCATGGCCAGGCTGCAGCTGTTCGAACGATTCCGACGAAACGAACGATATTTTCGCAGAACAAGTTGAGACGCGCGGGGGTGTTCATTGACAAGTTCGGGGGCGTGCAAGTTGGAGGCACCGGAAGCAAAGATCGAATTCGCGAATCGCTCGTTCGAATCCCCCCCCCTCTCCTCCTCCTTCCATCTTATTCTTCTCCCCTCGACCGGTGATGATGATGATGATAAAGACGGAGAGTACGGTAGGGTGGAGCGGCCACCGGAAATGAATGGTCTTCCGAACGCCACGCCCACTCCACGACCACCTCCTCAACCAATTCCCTATCGAGATTGTATTTAATGGGCTGGCGAATCCCTGTGAAACATTCATTGATACCCATTCCAATCCGAAACATGCATACCTATTATTTGTCAATTGTATGTGTGCTGATTGGACTTTCAGGTACATATCGTAACTATATTAACCATATGTATTGTATATGAGCATTTTTTAGCAGTGGCGGCTGATCCATGTGGCGACTCGTCATGGAGATATTTGCCGGCGACAAATGGATGTTACAAACTCATCGAGTACGCATTTGCAATTATATCAATGAATTCGGTGTTGTTTTAGAGAAGATTTGCCTTGGACGATCGCCGAATTCAAGTGTCTGTTCCAAGGTGGACATCATGTTTCGATTGATAGCTACGAGGAGAATCAATTTGTTCATGGTAGGGAGAGATTTGCTGCGGGTTTTTGATCATCCTGTTGATTTTCTAGAAATTTCGCATTGGACTGAGATCTGGACCGGTGCTGCGTTCTTCGGCAGAGACATGAGATACGTGAACTCGGATGGCTCCAAATATGGCAACTTTGAGAACTGGAAGGACGGCGTCAAGCCACCAATGAACCGCGCCAGACGTTGCATCAAGATGGATGCCAATGGTGAATGGTTCCAGTCGTGCTGCAAGAAGAAGACCTCCACGGTGTGCGAGAAGCGTGGAACCGGACAGGCTGTAACTACCACCCAGGCGCCAACCACCACAACATACAGTAATAACATCGGATTCCGATTCCTTCGGCACCGCGCTTAAGATGCTCCGCCAACCGACAAACTTCGAACTCGAATGTGTACACCGAACCGATGATCCTCACGCTGTTAAGCCTTTAATATTCTAGTTAAATACTGGTGTAGTAGTTAACCCCCGTGCCCCCCACCCCCACATCCATTGTTGAAAATTAAACAAAAAGACGGTCCCCAAAAATTGACAGTCCGCTTGCATACGTGTATTCTTCGCCCCCGCCCTGCTTGATTGTGCATTAAACATTTGTGAATATACTTGTGAATAAAATGTATTTTTCTGTGTATTCGTCCACCGTGGTTCGTTATCGCAAATGAGAACGAGTGATTGCAAAATGGACTTGATGATTGATGAGCGAATCAATCTGCGAACAAATCGGTTCGCACATTTCGAAACTGGATTCGAGTTCTCAACAGCCAACCAACCAGCGGCCATATGTTTCTCGGGGTTTCCGGGTACCAATCTCGACTTCTTCACGTAATTCTTGGCCAAAGAATAAGCGGTCGGGTTTCGTTTTGGAAATCACATAAGCATTCTGTTGTTTAGGCTGTTGGAAACCGAGATATCCCTTTTTAAAAACTAGGGTTCTTTGATTTCGCCCTTATTTGGTGAAATTATGGTGACATAAGATGGACCTTCTTATTTTCACAATTTTTTTCCTATTTGGAAAGTTGCTTCGAACAAATGAATAGCTGATATAGTCCAGGTTGCACGAATTTAGGAAGGTGTTCCTTACAATGAAAATTTCAACTATTGTGGAAAAATGACGAATGTGAAAAACAGCAGCGATATCCTATGCATTGTGTGCGTACACCGAGTCGCACATCTCGATCTTAACTACAGTAATCTCAACTGAAAATTATTTAAATAACTATTGATCGTTCCTTTTTTATATAAAACAATAAACATTGAATATTATACAAAAATAATTACTATTACTCTTTTTCAACAAAACTATACATTAAACCATAAATTCGCCAAGAAAACACAGAAAGAAAATTTAAAAAATTAATTGATTAAATAATTTTGAGTTGAGATTACTGTAACAAAGATCGAGATGTGCGACTCGGTGTACGCACACAATGCATGGGATGTCGCTGCAGCTTTTCACAATCGTTACTTTTCCACAATAGCAGTATACAGTAAAAGGTACAAAGATGAATATATTAAATTTGCGCTAATTAAAAAAAAACATTTGATCTTTCAAATTTGTCAACTTCGTCCGCCTTTGACAATATAACATTGCGAACAGCAATGCTACAAACAACACTGCAAACACAATACCCACTTAATATGTTCCTGTTATATATTGGAGCTAATTAATTACAAGACCAAAAGTAAAGTCAGAACAGGTTCGAAGCTGGTAATAATCTTGAAATGACTAAAGTCTTTAGAAAACAACATGCCCACGTAAAACTTTTGTTCGAAAATCGCATGACTCAAATCAATTGACACAAAAAGAGCTACATCACACGTGACCCGATTTCCACCTCGACGCTACGTGGCATCGTCGACGCGGCCATCGAAACCAATCAGTTCCATAAGTTCGTGTTTCTAGGCAACCGCCGAGACGTCGCCACGGTTTTTGCAAAATGTCTGAAGGTATCCCTATTCTTTACACTTTTCGTCAACATCATAATTTTTTGTACCATAGGAGGAGAATCGAAACCATCCAAGAAGTCGTCGAAGGGATTCGACACCCGCAAGTTCTTAATTGATCTTGTCTCCGGCGGAACCGCCGCCGCTGTGTCAAAAACCGCTGTCGCTCCAATTGAGCGCGTCAAGCTTCTTCTTCAGGTAGTCTCGAATCAAGAACCAATTCAATTCCGAATTGTATTCAGGTGCAAGATGCTTCTACTACGATCGCCGCTGACAAACGCTACAAGGGAATCATCGATGTGTTGGTGCGTGTGCCGAAGGAGCAAGGATACGCGGCGTTGTGGCGCGGAAATCTCGCCAACGTCATCCGATACTTTCCGACGCAGGCGCTCAACTTCGCCTTCAAGGATACATACAAGAACATGTTCCAAAAGGGTCTCGACAAGAAAAAGGACTTCTGGAAGTACTTTGCCGGAAACTTGGCATCTGGAGGAGCCGCGGGAGCCACGTCGCTCTGCTTTGTTTATCCACTTGATTTTGCTCGAACCCGTTTAGCTGCAGATGTCGGAAAGGGTGCCAATCGCGAGTTCAAAGGTCTCGGAGACTGTCTTATCAAGATCGCCAAGTCTGATGGACCAATCGGACTTTACAGGTATAAGGCTTAACAAAGTTTCAAATCTTACAATACGCCATTTAAGAGGATTCTTCGTGTCTGTTCAAGGAATCATTATCTACCGTGCCGCCTACTTCGGAATGTTCGACACCGCCAAGATGGTCTTCTCACATGACGGCAAGAAGCTCAACTTCTTCGCAGCCTGGGCTATCGCTCAAGTGGTTACCGTCGGCTCCGGAATCCTCTCGTACCCATGGGATACTGTGCGTCGGCGCATGATGATGCAATCAGGAAGAAAGGACATTCTCTACAAGAATACCTGGGATTGCGCCGTCAAGATCGTCAAAAACGAGGGAATGTCAGCCATGTTCAAGGGAGCGCTTTCGAACGTGTTCCGTGGAACTGGTGGTGCTCTTGTGCTCGCCATCTACGACGAGATTCAAAAGTTCTTGTAACTCTGATAGCCTAACAAAAAGCAAAGTTCAGCACACAATTTTTGTCTGAGTTAAGTAATAAATTATTCTGAACTCTGCAGCGTTTATTTATGTCAACATTGAAACAAGATTCTTATCGGCGTTGCTATCAACAATTCTGATACCATATCTGCAAGTTGTTGTCGGAAATTGCGTATCGCTAGAAAATGTTTTACAAGTACCTATCGAGTTGGTCGTCGGAAACCCTGGCCGGCGCATCGCTCATCAAATCGTTTCCAGTTTTCGTTTTTGGAAATGCGATAACATCTCGAACAGGAGTTGTTGGATCACCTTTCGATGATAATAAGGCGACAAATCGGTCGAGGCCAAGAGCAAAGCCACCGTGCGGTGGGGCACCGGAAGAAAGGGCATTGAGGAGATGCTCCTGCAAAATTTTCTTTCAAAATTATTTCAGTTCTGTGATGGAAACTAGAAAATGGTTTTGTAACGAATAATACAATCCAGTTACAATTTTTTATCAGTTACCCAACTTTCTCTGACCAAACTTTTCCTGCAGAGTATGTTTTTTGATGTTCATAGGTTTTTTGCTATACCAAACTAACCAGTTCCCTCGATAGCGGAAACCGTCTCGCTGTCGGAACCGATTCGACAAACTGTCTTACCATCTCGTTCGTTGGCTCTTTAAGAATGTCCAGCACTCTTCTTTGAAGTTGCGCATTGTGAATTCGAATCGATCCTCCGCCCATTTCGACGCCGTTGATTACCAAATCATAATGTTGGCCTGTAATTGTTTCCAGCTCTTCGCGATCGTTGCTGTTCAACAACTCCATGTGATCATCGATTGGGGCTGTGAAGGGATGATGGGTAGACACTAATTTGCCATCCTCGACAGAAAATAATGGAAAATCTACAATCCAGTGTGCTGTTATTTCATTTCTACTACGAATTCCACATTCTTCGGCGATGAAGTTTCGAAGTTGTCCTAAAATATTAAAAATATAATCAAAATTGTGTTTGATTCATACCAAGTGTCCATAAAACTCCATCAAAATCGCCCCACGAAACTAGAATTGTGTCTTGATTTGTCAACTCGAATCGATCAATGATTTCTTGATTTGAAATAGATTTGAACCAGTTAGCCTTTTTCGGTTGACAAACAGCAAATGCCTTGCCTAATTTGTTCATTTGGATAAGACGTTTCCATTCTTTCAAAATCGAATTCGACAAATGATTTTCCGAAGCTCCACGACACACGATAACCCTTGCAGTCCAGTCATCATGGGCATCTTGAGGATTAAGAACCTCTAAAATTTTATATTTTCAATTAATGAGATTATAAGATGGGAATACTGAAAAAATCAGTAGCATCCTCGATTTTCCAAGGGATTCTCATATCTGGTTTATCACTTCCATAATTAAGCATCGCGTCATCATAAGATATCCTTGGGAATGGCTTCGCAGGTTTCAGACCTTCCTGAACGATTTTCAATATCCTCAAATAACATTAAGATTGTTACTAATGATTTAGGCCATGCTGAAATGATAAAATCCTCTATGAGATTCATTACGCCTTCCTGATTCGTGAAGGACATCTCGATATCAATCTGGGTGAATTCTGGCTGACGATCTCCTTTTGATCCCTCGTCTCGATAGCATCGAGCAATTTGAAAATATCTATCAATTCCGCCAACCATAAGTAATTGCTTGAATTGTTGCGGACTTTGCGGAAGACAATAAGCGAGTCCCATGTTCGGAGCAGGAGCCGGAACAACAAATTCCGCAGCTCCTCCTGGTGTTCTTCGAAACAATGTTGGAGTTTCGACGTCGACGAAATTTCTATGTTCGACGAGGAACTTTCGGGTATTATGCACAAAATCTGACCGAAGTCGAAGCGCACTAAAATAATACTAAATTCTAATGAAAATAGTTAAAATAATACTTTTGCATTTTTCCGGTTCTTAAGTCAATATATCGATATTTCAATCTCGTCCTCTCATTGGCATTTGCATCAGGAAGCATTGGCAATTTCGAAGAGGCTTCATTCAGAATAGAAAGTTTTTCCACGACAATCTGCAGAAGTCAGACGTCGAGACGAGAATATTGCGAAACAATTAAACCTCAATATCACCACTTTTCATTTTTGAATTACGATGTTCTCCACGATCTGCGACAACACCGTCGACTCGGATGACTGATTCGTAAGGAATATCATTGATTTTATTCAATAGAATGGAGTTCTCCGGAATTGTCGCCTGAATTTCAATATTTTTTATATTGCGACCCCACTATCATCTTTGGCATTCAACCATCTTTCAGCAGACACGCGACGCCCACAATATGATCAGATTACCTGAACAGACCCGTAAGAATCTCGAATTACTAGAAATCGATTCATTCGTTTATAAGCAAGCCAACCCATGATGCTGACTTTCTCATCTAAAAATTAAGAACAAATTTATTTTTAATTTAAAAATTAAAAAGAAAACCTTTATTTCGCAAACTCAAATCGTTGCAAGTGTGCGTTCTCATCGTATAGGCATTTGTGCCACTGCCATAGGCAGCCGAAGACAATAATCGATTCCATACGTGATTACGTATAGACAGCATTCTAGATTTTCGAATTATTCAAAATCGGTGGAAAGAAGATATATGAAAGAATGAACTGAAATTTGAAAAATTGTAAATAAAAAATGTGAATATCTTTATAGCACAGAACTAATATATTTTTCAAAGAATAACCCGACAATCGAAAATATTTCACAATAGAATCAAATTTTGACAAGAATAAAACATGAATGATTGCAGAAAAAAATAACCTGACTAAAAACCACCCCAAAATCATCGTGCAATAAATATGAAAAAGAAAATGTCAAGAATTAACTCGATAATACCATGATGATGTTCGCTTCAACGCGATATGACCGCCGCCAGTAAATTGATCATGGAATGATGGACCAGGTGCTAATAAATGATCATAACCTATTCGATCCATTTCATCTTTATCGACATCTAAAAAATCCGAATAGCTCCAATTAGGACGCGAATCTTCAGGTAAATTCAAATCCCATTTTGGTGATGTAATTTCTAAAAAAAAATCGATCATAAATGATAAAAGTGTGATAGGTTAAACCTGGATGCTCGTTTTTGTAGTTGTCTTCGACCCGAGGCCTGTCATCGAACCAACAAACCGGCCCACGTGTGAATTTTATCTAAAAAAAATCATCCGATGAGATGGAAAGACATCACCAAATATTACAACACACAATATTACACTTCATTTTAAAGAAAATGAAAATGCTTACACCATTATTTGGATAAATGTGATATTCGTAGATTTCGGCGAGCATCAACCTCAACTCCATGCAATCTCCAACGTTATCCAATGGATAACAACAATCCTCACAATATACTTCGGGAACCTCGACTCTTCGCAAGTACTCGGTTGCTTCTTGAATTCTCTGCTGTTCTGAGAACTCTTCTGCCGTTTTATAATACAAATCATCAATTTCCTCGGTCATATTTGGTTGGATTTTGTGTAACTGTTTGAGAAGTTTCTCAGCCGTTGTAGATTCTTCTCCCTCGTTCGTTTTCAACTCATCAATTTTATGGGCATTCATAAACAAGTCATGAACCTATAAATTGCAAAATGATACAGACCATTTTAATAAAAACTCAACAAACCTTTTTCAAAAATTGTTTCTTTTTAGCATCTTTCCTCATATTCTCATCAACTTCGAATTCGACTAAATCTTTATCTTTTCCATATTGATTAGCATAATAATTAACGCCACCTTTTTTCGTGCTTCGCTCGATTTCTAATTCATCAATAGCAGCATCCTAATGAATGTAAATTATTGTTAATAGATACACTAATTTTACCTTGCTGATTTTCTCTTCTTTCACATCCAATAGGGAAACATCGATAATCTTAAGGTTTTTGTTCAAGTCCTTCAATGATTCTTGCTCTTTACGAGCTTGCGAACTGCAACAATCAAGCATTCCCGGGTCAACTGGATGGGCCTCGGTGTTGAAAATATAGCCGCCGGCTGAAACGATAAAATTTGAATTCTCAATTCTATGTTAATCAAGAATGCTTACCAAAAATGGCGCATGTCAAATTTTTCGACGACTTTAATATTCTCGCATTTCTTCCATCGCTATGAATAAAATTTTCAGTGTCGAAGAGCAAATACAAGTACTTCGTGGTTTCCGCGAGAAAAAATGATTCCATTCTGCAAGAGAAGGATAGTTTAAGACAAATTCGGATTTTTTCAAGAACCTGTCCTCGATCGAATGGTCTTTAACATTATTGATAGTTGCATAACCACAAGGAGTCCGTGCTGAATTTTCGATAGCCTCAAAAAAACTATTTAAAAAAATTAATTCCTCTCACGTACATCAACCATTTCAGCTCCCAACTCCAACCATTTACTGTCTTTAGTGGCTCTATACAAATACATAAGCGATTCAATCATTTCTGGTCTCAACGGGAACGCGGCTCGATTTTCCACAGGCTCTTCATTGTGGATATTATAAAACTCTGGTGGGAATCCATATTTTCTTATCAGTTCCGCGTACTGCAGCATGATTCTCTGTGCGTCTTGAACATCTCCGACCATAGTGAGAAGACCGGGATAGAAGGCCTCGAGTGATTGAAAAACGGGCATTGAAACGGTGGCTTTTGTCATTGAGACCCAGACAAACCAATCTTCTTTTCTCACGTATTTATTGATCGCCGTCACATATTCTGGAAAAAAAAGTAGTTTAGACTATACGAATTCATTTATTTTCCAACAAAACTACAAACCTTCAAATTGTTTCATAAGCGTCGGCCTTCTGAACAAGTACGCTCCTTTGACGAGATATTCGAGATAGCTGTCAATTCCGCCACCAATTCCGGAATCTACTGCCGTCCATTGAGAAGTTTGAACATTGATATGATTCCCGACTAAGCCCAACGGTGATTTTGTGCCCCATAGAACATCAAGGGCTTTCAATGCAATTCGCTCATACTTTTCATCGCCAGTAAGTCGGGAAAGTGTCCCAAATTCTACATAATTCAATGAGAATTGGCATAAACTAAAATAAGCATTTGCCCAACCTACAATCAATGTTCCAATAGCAGCAGTACATGTTATCGGCGTTTCCTCTTTGTGAACACCATACCTCAGATTGACAGTTCCATAAGGCATTCCAGTTTCTATATTAGCTTATATGAAGCTACATAACTTGATATCAAATGTTTACCTGTATTAAATGCTGGAAGAAGCTTATCCGCCATTTTTACAGCAAGCCTCAAAAGCGGACCATCACACGGCCACCCTTCCCAGTCTTCGATTAGTTCTTTATGCCTTCCAGCAAGCATATGAGCTGATATTAAACCGCCGACAACCCGAATATTCGTTTCGAACACTGAGACATTGACATCAACGTCATCACGAACCTATATTTATAAAATCTGATTAGAACACTGTCGCGCCTATACCGATTTCAATACAAGATCTACGGCTCGTTTGAATTCGGTGACATTCCCCATAATCAGAAGGGTGTCGAGAGCGTCGACTAGCGTTAATGAAAACGATCCCCATGTATCCTGACCTTAATTGATTTTCTACAGATTTCAGAATTTTTCTTTAAAAAATGTTTACCAGTGCATGTGATCGGCTTGAGCTCATCTAGAGGAAATGCGTATGTCAAATACCCCTCATAAGCATGATAGAACATTTTTCGTACTTTTTCTCGATACCTAAACTTTTCTTACAGTCCGATCAAATAAATTTCTTACTCTTTGATAACTTCCGGCTGAAAATACTCAGCTTCTTCCGGTTTGGCAAAACTCAAGTTTAAAACAAGAAGAAATGCTATACTTCCGCATTTCATCTGAAGAACGTTGGTTTGCACTGCATCAAATCTGGATCAAACGGTATCAAACTGTCGACTACAGAAAACACAAATACAGATTGATATGGAATTAATTTATATATCATTTAACAGCAGAAATGAGTATCATTATAATACCAGTTAATTGCATAGTAATGTTACCGGTTTAGTGATTAAAAGCCTATTTTAGGGTTAAAGCACGGATCACCGAATCGTTCGACGACAGCCGCTGCTTCTTCGAGATCATTTCGAACTTTCTCCCGCATATAGTAAATTGGGCAATCCCTTGCTGAGCAATTCACTTTATCCTGAACGGTTTTCGCACAATTTTGGCATTCGGTCCATAAACGTGCAAATTGATTCTCGAGTTCATTCAATGTGCTGATTCTGAAAATCATACTCTAATATTTTCATCCAAGGAAATTGATCAAACCTTGAAATATAAATATCAGCCTGTTTCGGAATACAATGCTTGCACACTGCATTCTTTGACTCGTTACTAGGCAGCACACTTTTGCATCTTTAAAATACTATCACTGAAGAATAAAAAAATAAAGCTAACCCTAAGCATGTCGCCGACTTCTTCGTAAATGCTGCTAATCCTCCGACTTTACTCTGAACCACTGTTCTAATTCGAGTATGTTCACCTTCCACAAGATACTAAAATTAAAGAAAATCCAATAAAAACTAAGCAATAATGGAAACCTTTTCAGCGCGATCTCCCAAAATTGGCTCAAAGATTCGAGCAAGCGGTTTCGCGAGCTGATTTGTTAGATAATGCTTCGTATCAATTGGAATGTTGTTTTGCAAGACAAAGGTGGGATCCTCAGCTTTTTCATAGGCTGGCACATTTTTCGCAGATGCAACTGAAAACAATTTTTTTTATGTTAAACACGCTCCTATAATCTTACTAAAAACATAAGGAACGCGATCGCCGAGTCTTGGAGCACTACCAGCATCTCTTTTTCTCATCCGGGCAGCTAATTCAACATGAGCTTGTTTGGCTTGATATTTCTTAAAAAAAAATACATATATACATTTTAAGGATTATTATTTTCTGAAAATCTTACATCTCCAGATTTGGTCAATTCTTTACTGATAATTAGGAGAGAAATGTCAATCTTGTTGCATAATAGGTCACTAATCGTACGTTTGGCAAAGTTGAGCGCAGCATTCTGATCTCGATCTATGAGAAGCTTTTCCAAGCAGATGCCAAGAACTTTAGCTACCAATGGACAATTATCACGACGAACGGTTTCCAAACCCTACAAATTGAATAAGCCATATCGAAAAAGCTTCGAAAATTCTCACTTTGCAATCCATTTTGTCATGCACATCGGGTTTAGTAAAGTACAATCCAGCATAACGCTTCTTGTTGATTAGTAAATATGGAAAATAAACCTGAAAATAATACTTGATGTTTCGAAATATCGGCAAGAGCAAAATTTACTTTCTCAAATTCCAATTTAATTGGAGGCGTAAAGATTTTGCTAACTTCTTTAGCAGCGTGCAACCCAATTTCCATTGCATCTTTTACTGTTTCTACTCCAAATTTTACCATCACCGAATCTGTGTCACCATAGACAACTTTGGCATCTTGTGGGCATAATCCGTTCAATGCTCCCTTCTTGTAAATCCTCTCCACCTCATTTTTCGTCATATCAATCATTTTTCGACCAAATGCGGTAACCGATTGCGAAATTTCCAAACAAGGCAATTTTCCAACTGTAGCTCCAGTGAACCCATAAACGGAGTTAGCCGAAATCTGAAAAACCCAAAATATTAACTAAAGCAAACAGTTTGGTACCTTCAAAGCGAGCTGTCTTCCGTTATAAACCATTTTCCTGAACTCATCCGTCTCATTTTTCATGTCAATTTTTGCACGTTTTCTCGCCGCCAGCAAATCTTCTAAAATCTCTGGCAAAAGTCCACGTCGTTTCGCTTGTGTTACAAAATATTGTCCAGATGGCGTTTTAATATAATCGACTCCTTCGACACCTTGAGGAGCCTTTAGAAGGGTTGTATAGCATAGATTATGAGCAATCATAATGGATGGGTAAAGTGAAGCGAAATCAAGGGTGGCGATCGGCTCGTTATAGAAACCGCGAATTGGATCAATAACGGTGGCACCCTCATAACTGCAATGAAATATGCCGAAAATTGCAATGAAAAGGCCTATTGTGCATTATTTTAATTTAAAAAATGTGCACACCTCTCTCCATCGCCTCCACTAGCTTCAATTACAGGGAGAAAGAAATTATTGGCTTTGCATCGGCGAAGCATCATAGAGAGAATCTATAATTCCCTCGATTAATTTAATTGCAACAATTTTAATTTGATTACTTTAATCTGCTGTCCTCGTGTTAACAAATAATTCATTGGAACTCCAGTGACTCTCGCCATTTCGATATAGTTAATAATGGACATCAATTTGTCGAGAAGCCGAAGAGGAAGATACGCATCCTTGAGGCAATACATCGCCAATCTACAGAAAATCAAAATTTAACTAAATTAGATGCTTTTTTTTTAGTAGTTTCTTAGTTTTGCAATTTATTTTCCAGCTTGGTACATTAAAATATTTAATTACAAAATTTTTTTTAACCTTTTTCTCGTATGCTCATTTCCCCATTGAAGATCGGGAATAATGCTGTGCTCAACATCTTCTTTCTGTTCCGATAAGAATTGATACGAAACACTGTTTAACGTGTAACTTCGCAACTTATAATCGCGAAGGACGACCTTAACAAATTATTATATTCAAATAATTCTTGTTCTTTTTACCTGTAACACATCGAAGATAATTCTTCCATGAATGTCAATGTTCTTGTTGACTCTGCTTCCCATCTGTTTTGATGAAATCGCAGCGTCGCGAACATTCGAAGCACGATCAACTTGTCTTCCGAGATGGGCAACCTTAGGAAGCTTCAACACTTTTCCACGATCCAAAATGTACGGCAGATCAAAATTAAGAATATTGTAGCCTGTAATGATATCAGGGTCGACTTCTCGTACAAATTCTGCCCACCTGAAACATGTTTTTTTTTAATGAAACTAAATATAAGGAGTACTTACTGTTCTAGCAATACTTTCTCATTGACACATTGAATAATATCACTCCCTACAATTGGAGCACATGTTCCAAGAACAAAACAATTCCTAACAAATGGTTCCGATTCGCCTTCAATTTTGACCAAATTCGCAATTTGAATGATTGGATCAACATTTGCTTCAGGAAAGATTCCACGTCTTCCAATGCATTCAATATCGAGTGATAAAGTTCTTAAAATATTTTAATGATTATTTTCCTTGAATAATGTACCGAATTGGCGCGATATCGGCCCATTCGCCATTGCTTTCATGAACAATAAGATCTTTCACAGTCACGATAACCTCAATTTGACAGCGCGATGATTTACGCGTTCTCGGAAGAACCTCACACTTCCCGGCAGGAATCTAAATAAATCTCGTGAACGTGATTATTTAAGCAGAAGCGTTTCTTACCTCTATCCATCCGCAACCAACAATTCCCGTTTTTGCCATAAACTTGACTTCGGCGTCAATATTGGACTCATAAAGCGTTCCAATATTCAAACATCCGGTTCCCATTAGGTTGATTCCGTTCTTCAATTCATTTCTAGCCTTGTGAAGAGAGTTAGTAGAACCAGACACTTTAACGAAAGGAACTTTCTTGTTCGACCCTATAATAAATTCCGTTTTTCTTTTTTTCAATTTGTTTCACAATTTACCTCTAAAATAATACAGATTTTCTCCTTCAACTATTTTTAAATGGACCAGATTATCAATCACATTTCCAGATAATTGGATATTTCCGGAACCACCACGACGCAGTGATGAAGCAATTGAATTATTAATAGCAGCTTGTGCAGTTCCAACATGCTCGGGACCAAAACCATTTGGAGCCTTTAAATTTCAACTAATTTTTAAAAACTGCGAAATTACCTGGAAATAAAAGTGTGGAAAGTAATCGGTTACAATTACACAAATCGAATTTCCACTTTTGGTGACGCCGTAAAGCTTCACATTTGTTCGATCGACAGACGATGCAGTTCCAGGTTCGTTGTATGTTTCAACTTCTAGAACCTTAAAAATTATAAGTTCGATCAATCATTCGAAAATTTCAGTACCTGACAGGCAATATTTTTAGTTTTTCCGAGGTTTGGATCTACTTCTGGTCTAGCCCACTTCGATTTGTCAATTTTAATATTTTCAGATAGTTCTGATTCGAAATGCGGCTGAAACGCTTCTTAGCTATTTAAAACAGAACCTATTTTTAAAAATACCACATATTGTACATCAGCATCGTCATGTTCTGCCTTCTTTTTGGAAGCGGGTTGATATGTTGGGGCTCCTATTCTTTTCGACATGTTAGGCTATCCTGAAAATGAGAAATTTCAGTTTTGTTATTGTTCGGTGACAATTAGGAAAAAATTATTATAATTTCACTCTTCGAAAATTATACTCATATTTTATGGACCTCTTATAGACATATATTAAGCGTGCAGTTTTTTTTAAGCATTCCTGCATTGGAAAAGTGCACTTTTTAAAATTTGAATTGCATGAATAAGCCCATTGCGGCAATTCATTAAAAATATGCGATTGCCACATGCAAATTCAAAAATTAAAAACTCAGAAAGGGGTAAACGCGCCCTACAGCGCAGCGGCAACTCAGAGTGAATTCAAAAATCTTCTCGCGGCGGCAAAGAAAAACAACATCTGCCTTCCATATTGGTATTCTGTTTTGTATCTTTATAAATACCAACCGGCACCACATCAACAGCCGAATTTTTAGTTTTTTATTGACATTTTTTCATACAATTTAACTTCATGTTTCAAATGTGATATGCAGGTTCATTGCAGATTTAATGCAATAGACAGACTCACTTAAATGAAAATCAATCTGATTCGATTGAAAAAAGAATTGAAATTCGATTTCAAAATTTCGATTCATAATTCGATAATCTTCGACATCGATTGATATATTTCTCATTTTCGTTTTTGAAATCGTATTCGATTGAAGTTTTGGAATAATTCTAAACGGATTAGTTTATACTCGATTTCAATTGAAAACGAAATTATTTTCGAATTCGATTAATTTTCATTTACCAGAGGACGTCCTTCTCTGGTAGCTGAAAACCAATCGGATCCGACAACATTTGGCTTCGGAAACAAGCTTATTCGATTGGTAATTCTACAGATTTTTAAATTGTCGAAAAATCTAATCCGATAAGTTAGTTTCATAAACCAAATTTTGTCGGGTCGGATTGGTTTTCAGCTACCAGAGTTAAAGTTGATTAAAATATTCTACACATCAAACTAATGACAAACTTTTTACGACAAACATGGAAGTTACTACAGCAACTTCCTAATAGACCTATTCATTATTATATAAAATTATTATATAAAATGTTTATTATATAAAATGTTTTTACTAGAGCACATTTCATGAATAAGTGGGTCTATAATATTGACTGAAAAAAAAAACACTCGTCCTGACTATAAAAAAATAATCCGATAGTGCAAACTTCATTTCGTCATTTTTTGTATTTATGACATCAGTGCTAATTCGAACGTCTTTAGATAAAAAAAAAAGACGTCAGAATATTCACTTGTTAAAAACCCTAATATTTTAAATGACTTTGAGCAAGCTGCTATTTATGGCATTTACGCGGTTAGTTCAAACTTACTATTTAAATAAATTGTTGGTTTTTTCACCAGCAACCCTTATTCTTTTTTAATTTAAAAAAATGTTCAAATTTCAGTTCGAGAATGAGTGCAATTGTTGACATTACTAATACTGAAACACAGACCAACGTAACCGAAACTGTTTCCAAGAAAATGAAGATTGCAGTAAGTTTTAATTTAAAGACAGTAATTAATAATTGCATAAATTATCGATTTTAGGAAGAAAGCACTGATCGCTTGACCGTCAGATTTGTTAAGCTTAACGAGAATGCGCAGATGCCGACTTATGGATCTACTTCTGCCGCTGGTGCCGACATTTACAGCGCTGAGGATTGTGTTGTTCCAGCGAAAGGAAAACTGTGTGTCTCCACGGGCCTCCAGCTTGAATTACCCTTCGGATACTACGGAAGAGTTGCTCCACGCTCTGGTCTCGCTGCGAAAAACTTCATTGATGTTGGAGCTGGAGTCGTCGACAGCGATTACCGCGGAGAGCTTAAAGTTCTTCTTTTCAACTTCAACGACACACCATTCGAGGTTAGTCAATAAAATTTTAGCAGTTGAAAAATAAAAATTTCAGGTGAAGAAAGGTGACCGCATTGCTCAGCTTATTTGTGAGAAGATCGCCCATTGCAATTACGTCGAAGTCAGTGATCTTGAAAACACTGAAAGGGGCGCTGGAGGTTTCGGATCGACTGGAAAATAAGTTCTACAATTTTGTAAAATCACTCACCTTTACTTATTACATTACATTGAAGCATTACGGCTGATTCGCGCTACAAATAAATTGGCTTATTACCATTTTTCGGGAAAAAAAACAAACTCTCAATTGTTCACTTTTATTTTAACAACTTTTCCCCGAATTTGCGACAAATCATGCACATTTTCAATTATGTATTCATCGGTCCCCCTAATCGGACCAGCATCGAACAACTGTGCGTTGCTTTCCTTGAGTGAGACATATGGAAATGTTCCAGGAATCCTGAAATTATCCGGTTTTTTCTGATTATTCAACGGAAATTCACCTGCTTTTTCCCTGAATCCCAATAAGAACTAGCTTATTTTCTTGAGCTTGTGGTTTTTCCGCGATTTGGACGAAACCACGAGATTCAGTAGCTGAAGACAAGCTAATAAAGCCAACCTTTAAAAAAATATATAAAATTATTGGTCAAATGGAAAGAAAACCTTACAATTAATACCCAGTGAGCTTTATGACCGTTTAGTTTTGCAATTGAGAAATCCTTATCGCAATCATAGGGAATTAGGTAATGATATCCTTGTAATAATCCGTTTGAAATATTTTCGGCCGTTGGAAATTCTTGAATCACTTCGGCGCATGATTGATTGATGATGTTGGCTAATGTTTCAAGACTTGTTGCTGAAAATGATACATTATTAATGAAACCTATTGAGTTGAAACTTTCTTTTAAGCGATGCAGAAAATAAAAGAAAAAATTCAATGCTCTAAAAAAAGAAAAAAATTTACTGCAATGAATATTTCTCATTCTTTATCTTTATTTGATGGACTTATTAATGCAATGTGTTGTTTTCTTAACAAAAAACGTGTAAAAATTTCATGAATAGCAATTCATGAATAGGTCCATAATTCATCGTCCTTTAAAAAATTGTGAAATTGAAAATAATTTACCAGAAAACATTTCTCCTTGCTTTGTCAATCCTTTTTCAATGGCTTTATTCAACAATTCATCCACGTTAACGGGAATCCCTTGCGAGTTTAATGACATAGCTAATCCTACGATGCCACATCTAAATAATTGAATTATTCATTTAAAAAATATTTTCAAATTTCTTACTGAGGCCCTTTTTGCAAAATTGGGGTTATGCTATTTTCGAAAAATATTTGTAATCCAGCATTATTATTTTCCTCAAACAAATCTTCAATTTTTGAATATAACAATGGGTGGAGAATTGAAATGTCGAATAAATTAGGATTTTCATCCATACGGATGTGTAATCTTCAATCGATAACTTGATGTGAGCTCCGCTAAATCATAGTGGCCTAGAAATCTGAACAATAAGGCCGCGGTCGCAAGTTTAAATTTTCGCGGCCATATTATTTTTTAGTTTCGTCATAAAGCTTTATTGCGAATTTTTCGAAATAACGTATTCGATTTTTAGAAAATGGATGATTTGGAATTGGAATATGAAGAACTCGAACCACACTATACAAAACCAGACGATTCACATAAATTTGCGAACACCATCGAGGTAATTTTGCTTTAAACTAGAGACGTGCAAAAAATTTAGTAAAAATTATGAATAGCTCAAAGTTAAAAGAAATAAAAATTTATGATTTTTTCTAATAAATTTTTAATTGAAAAGTTGATGGTTGAAATAAATATGATGTTTTAAATAAAATGTTAATTGTCTGGCGAAGAGCGTTTATGAAAAATCGTTAAATATCGCGAGTAACTTTTTATGAACATATTCGGAGAACTGAAAAAATGGTTTTTTTTACATTGATGAAAAATATTTTTCCAACTCACAGAACATGCCCACTTCAACATATAACTTTTTATTTATATATAAAAAATTTTATAAAGTAAAATTTTCTAGCGTGTTTTTCGGGATCGGTCCTTCAAATTTCGATTTCAGAAGTGAGAATTGGTATACCGTATTACTTATAACTTGCTAGATGAAACTAACCGTTATTTAAACCAAGATTCTCGTTTTTTGCTATGGTATTATTTTAACTCGTATTGTTTATTTTCATTTAATTTAATTGTTGTCTATATTCTCGACAGTCGTTTTATTAGCTTTGTTAGGGGTAAAAGGCTTTATTATTGCGCGTTTGTTCGAATTATTCTCCCGATTCCCTATAGTTTTGAGGTACAATCATGTCTTCTTTTCCATAGTCTTTAAGGCTTCGTATTTCGCTTGCGTGGCACCAATTGTTTGATTTTTTCACCATTTTGCCATTTTTTGTTTCAAATGTGGTTTCTTCTATGAAAATATAATAGAAAAATAGAATTGACAAAAATCGTTGACAAAATGTGGAATTCCCTTGTTTCAATGCAAATATAGCTGAGAAAAAACTAAATAGTGAATTAACGAATTGCGTAGTTAGTTAAATTAAATAATTTCAATGTTGAATGGGAGTTGTTAGTTGCCGACTATAGAAATGGATAATCTAGCCTGTTAGACTCTGAATATGGCAGGATTAACCGTTGAAATGCCTTTCTTATCTCCATATCATCCCGACAAATATATTCCATAATCATTTCACCAATTCGTTCGTTTACAAGTTCCTTTCTTCTCATAACCAAGTGATAGTCAAATAGAGGAAGACTCGTACATAATTTGTGACCTTATAATGCAAATACTAGTCCGGGAAATTTTGCAAATTTTTGCCTCTCTTCACAATATTTGCTGAGGCTATATATTTTCTATTTGCATTCGCCCATAAAAAGAGTGTCGATGTCTTCTAAAATGTTCGCGTCCAAAAAAAAAGTCATCATCAGGCAGCACAAAAGCGAAAATTAATCCAGATTCGGTGCGCGCCCCACTCGCGCGCGTTTTTCAATTTCCTGCCGAATCTAGCAATATCACATGCTTATGAAATCGCAACAAACGCAAAATGAACTCTGCTTCAAATTTAATTTCGAAAAAGTTTCGAAATGCATCCCCTCCGTCATATTCTTGTCAGTCAGGCCATTGAGAAATGTCAATATAGGCCATATATGACAAATATGCACGTATCGGAAAATGTTTAATTATTATTATTATATAAGTCAGAAGGCCGTGTTGGTGGCAATAGCATCAGCAGCCGAAACACAACAATAATAGTCCAATTAATTGTGTGCGAGTTTTCACTTTTTTTGTTGTCTATTGTTCATGGCAAAACTTTTCGAGGATTTTGGGTGTCCAATTTGCAACGAAATAGTGCGTACATGGTTGAATGTTTGACAAGGTCGAAGGACCCGACAATGCATTGAACGCGCGCGACAATTAAAAGACCATCTTCGGATATTTGGTTAGCTGAAAAAATTGTTTTGAAACCCTTCATCATCATTATCATCGTTCGTCGAAAAAATGTTAATTTCAACGAATTTTTCTGCTCGGAGCGCTCGCTTGCGTGCGCATATCCCATATAGGGTTTGTATGTGTTTTTCCTTCTCCTCCTTCGTTTTTTTTTCGTCTTTTTCGTCTTTCTTCGTGTACTACGCTCTTCCATGCCTGCTGCTCCGGGACAACGGGGCAGGCTCAAAAAAAAAAGACGTCGAAACGCTTGCTGAAATGAAGACGACGACAGCGAAGAAGGCGAGATGGAGAAGTGGGCGGCGGCCGCGGTCCCGCCCACTTTTGGTTGTCCATCCGTTTCGCCGTCGTCTCGCAATGTGTGTGCGTTTGTGAGCGCATGTGCGGTTGTGCCGGTGGTGAGTGCGGTGGCGGTTTTTGAATGTGTTGCAGTCGTCGCGCTTTGGACTGAGTCTCGCTCGCCTCTCTGGTTGGCTGGCTGGCTTGCTGGCAGTCGCGGGCATTATTTTTTAAAAATAGTATTCTTCATCATTATTTCAATTATTCCGAAACTACGTCATATATCGTCACAATTGGTAGGTATGTTAGGCACTGAGACTTTCGCCGAGAATTCTCGTCTTGTTCGCTCGTCATCCTGCCGCCTGAATCTTTCGGCTCAACCTCGCAACTAAAGACGTAGGTGAGCAAAGTTTCAGGTGTGCAGGATAGCGCGTAAGTTGCTCGGTAGTTATAAGAAACGTGAAAAGGCCCTTTTTGGCAAGTTAAACAAAGTCATAATTCATGAGGGATTTAGGTGATTTCCGGAGAAGAAAGTGCCCAATCAATTTTTGGTCCTTTGAAAAAAAATTCAACACCATCTCCTCGTAGAGCCTTTTGCATAATAGAAGAGAATTCTCGTATTGATCAAATTCTGCCCACTGGTTTTTTTTATTTCATGTAATAAATGACAAATACCTCCTCGTCGTTGTCGTCGTCGTGAAAAAAAAAATTGCGACGAACGAACGAGAACAAAAAAGGCATGGAACATGCAAAATCGATTATTTGACATGCATCCGCGTGGCAGTTGCCGGCGTGCTACTTCTGCCGCCGTCCCCACCACTGCTGTGTGCTGCGTGCTTGCTTGTTGCTGCCGACCGACGCTGCTATACATTTTTTTTTGTTATAATTTTTGGCGCGTGCGTCAAACAGCTCCACCAGGCGACCCTCACAGAACACGCATATGTGTATATACATTTGTAACACACGGCTGAATTGATATTATTAGGCAATTCGATTTTTCTTAGCCGACGCAAACGTTGACGACAAAGGGTGATTGCGAATCGAGCCGGATGCCGTTTTGACGCTTTCTGAAGAGTTGATGAGCAAAAACCAAGGTCCCATGGGGGAGAACGGATGCTCTTATTAGCTAATGGGTTCGTCAAAAAGAAGCGGAATATCGGAGTTTATGCGCTTGTATTCTCTGAGTTCTGACAGCGAATTGAATTAGTCTGATTGAAACTCCGGTGATTGTCAGTGGGTTTCCGTAATCCGGAGTTATATGATTTTGTGGGTGTCCAAAAAATGGTGCGCAGAAGTTCCAATGTCATTTCGAAGAATATATGAGTGTGAGTGTTTGTGTGTGTGTGTGTGTATGCGTGTGTGTGTGTGTGTGTTTGTGCGAGTCCCTGACTGCACTGGAATGAAAACCCGGGCTGACACGCATTCACTCGCATTCCCCTGCGCGCCAATTATATATTGATGATGATGATGATGATGATGATGACTGGGTGGACGGTGATGTCGGCAAATATATGTACATTGTGTTTTTACATGGTTGATTAATTTCCGCCGCCACTGAGTTTTTCGGAAACGAATGTGGACGCGCGACCGCCTGCCAGTCGCCGCGCTCCCCAAGAGACTCGTCAAATCTCTTTTGATCTGTTTCACAAGTAATTGAGATTAGCGCATTTGCCGCTTCTTGCCTTTCTTGGTAATTGATGTTGCGCACGATTTGCGAACTACGTGACAGAACTGACTGCCTGTGAGGAATATGTATGAGATATTTGAATGAGATTGATGAGCGCAAAGATTTTGGCAAAAGAAGAATGCTTTCACCTCCGGCGTTTCGCGGAATGTTGATATCCCATTTGTGGTTTCTGCTCGAATTTGTTCAAGAGCAACATATAATTAGGTTGATTGTCGCGACAAATCTATAATTTTCGGAAACGGCCGATGAAATATCCTGACATTTATACTCGCCGATTGCTTTCCTCCGAGGGGGGATTTGAGTGACCTATAGAAAACGGAAGTGTCATGCTCTCGTGCTAGTAAAAAATATTGCGGATTGTGAATGTAAAATACGGTTTTCGGAATTTGTTCACGTTCTTGTTTTTCGAGAATAATTAGGTTTTCTTTAGCGTTTTCAGACGAACTTTCGAATGCAGCGATTTATGACAGGAAGGCTGGCATGCGAGGCAGCCGCCGCCGCCGCTATTTTTTTCTAATTGAGATCGAGCTCAGCATGCTCTTTCACTCGTGTTTTCACCAACATCCATATTCGTTGAAATGCGTATTTGACGACATGAAAAATGAATATGCACGAGCTCAAGCCTCATGGTAGCCGCGGGCGCGTAGGCGCATTTTTTTCTGTCGCGATTCTGTCAACGAGTCGTCTCTGCGGCATGCATGTTTTAGACACTAGAAAACTGGCACGACGAAAAAAAAAACGAAGAAACACAAAGTGTGCATCAACATCTCATTAGTATTCGCCATGGCACCTCGACCACAACAATCCGGCCTGAAAGCGATCGAGTGAGGAAAAAAACCGAAAGTGTGCCCATCAAACATCTCCCGAAAAAACGCTTATCGGCTTTTCAAAGGAGAACCGCACCAAAAGAAATATGAGAGGCTTAATTTTGAGAAGAAGCTTTTAAAAAGATCCAAAGCCAGAGAAATCAGTATAAGGGAACAAAATATTGAAATTATTCAAATCGTAGCGTAAATCTTCCAAAGTTTAGAATTTATTCATATGATTTGTTTTTTCAGGACCATAAGAAGGATGATGAATCGCTTGATCGTGAAGAGCGTGAAGCCACTGAAAAAGCGTTTGGTATCAAATCGACGACTGCCGATCACCTCAAGGTTGACATCAATCTCATGACCAATTAATCTAATGGTCACCACTAGCCATATGTTTCTTTTCTAAGCTCATAATTACTTTTGCGGCTCGGACCATCTACCTATCCGGGTGGCAATTGTCTTTGTGTGGTGCGTGTATGGTGGCACCAGGGCAACACACTCACATACACACCTCGTATATAAAATTTTTGACCGCGCGTGCGCCCCGTCCGTCCGCTTCAATCATCGCCCCCTAATCCAACCTAAATTAATCTCTTTTTGTCTCTTTGTTATACTCTCTCCATTTCAGCAGAATGGTCATATACGGGGGGGGATATATATGTATGTTTGGGCAACTGGGTCTATATATGTATGTGTACGTATTGCGAGTACGTACTCCGTCGAACAATTAAAAGTGAATGTGACGACCATATAATCTGGAACCTTTGGAGAAATACACAGAAAAGAAAATTGAGTAGTTTTATAATGAAGTATATTGGGTGGACGGAGGGGCCGCATGCCTTCTGTCTGCCACGCTAATTATCGTTTTTGCGCGATTTGGTGTCGCTAAGGTGAGGCGAATTGAGGAAAGAATAGAAAAAAGGTTACCTCTTTCGCCTCCGATTTCGCCGCTCTCTTCAATTCTTCTTCGTTGCCAACACATTCTGATTGGTAATTTACACTAGACAATGTTCGGCGGGGATTTATGGAAATGAACAATGGAATCTCGGGGAATTCATAATGCACCAGTATTGTAGGGTGCGAATGGAAAACTTCTTGTTAAAAGACTCCTATTGGGGAAGAATTTATGGTATAGAATGCTTAGAGTCTTGCATAATTTTAAATAAATAAATGAGCGTATTTCCATCCCTCTAGCCACGTTATTATCAATAGAATCGCAATTTTCACACGATTATTATGCTTCAAAACGTATTCATTCTTATCTTTATTAAAAAATATGAATAACAAAAAGAATAATGTTCAGTGCGATGCAATCGAAACATGGAGTCCGGGAAATGTTTGTACAACTTTGGTATAGTTGGTTACATTATTGTTTGCTTGAACTTGAATTCGACGATAATATGCATTGAATTGTATAAGCATGGAAATTTTTGCAGGTGACGCCACGCGAGGCGGCGGCGCTTCGTCGTGAGTTGGGCGTCAGTGCCGGTGAATATGAATTAAGGGCGGTGATTGTGAATGGGATTCAAGGAATGCACAATTTTCAAATTTTGAAGTAATTTTTATTTGACACAAATTGAATTATGATGTTCATGGAGTATTTTTTTAATTTTTGAAGTATAAATCATACGTGAAACACCTATTTTGAATAAAAATCATTTCTAGAATTTAATTTTTGAAGTATTCCCGTTTCGAAATTCTTAAGAATACAATTTTAAGGGTATTTTCTGCGTTTCGTGCTTCTGAAGTCAGTATTCTTGACAGTAACAACGCGATTGTGCACTTCCTAACGCGGCAAGATGTCGCTGCTGTGAGTTGATTATTTAGTAGAAAAGAAAATGCGCAATTTGCATTTATAGATGATGTTGAACATGTCGAAAATGATTCGACGTGTGCGTGGAAAAAGGCGAGCTGATGAAGACGGCGAAGTGATGTCAGATGACGACGATGATGTCGAAGAAGGGCAAATTCTGAAGGAGAAGGGTGATGATATTGAAGTTCTTGAAGGAATCGAATCCAACGGTATTTTTTTGATTCAATATTTCTTCGGACGAAGGCCGCCATCATTGGCCCAGTTGAGTCAATTTTATGATCATTGACACAGCTGGCGTACCAAATTTGGTCCAATCCAATGATGCTGCTGATGAGCATGAGTTTTTGGTTGTCAGCGAGTGTTTGCACAAGCTGAACCCAAACCACCGAGTGACATGGATTTGATTTATTGGGGAATTAATAATTCTTCTTTATATAAATTATAGCGTTTTCTTTTGCCACCTTCTGAAATTAGTGTTATAGCTCCAACTTGTTCATTCTTTCTCACTGGCACAGAAGAGGAAATGTTTATATTTTCCGCTGCAAGATTAATAAGATGAATGCGATTGTTGTGAACAATTGGTTCGAAATGAAAATACATCGTAGTTTTGTAACTACTCGTTTCTTCGGACTAATGCTACAATAGTACTTGAGACGGACAACGCGAGTCTTCTTCGTCGTCGTCGCCGCCGCGGCTGTCGCGATACTTTCTTTCTTGGGTGTATTAACCGGCCCACTCGGCTGAGGTGCTGGTATTATTGTATTTCATGCGGTTAACGAGACGTCCGCCTGGCTCACTCCGCCTCTATTCGCACTATCTCACCGCCGGCGTGGTCGGTTTCCATTTGTGTGCTCTTTGTTATTCACACCATCTCGTTCGGCGCGGTTTGTGTGTGTGTATGCTCTGCCCATGGAACACCGACCGATGACTACCGTAATCTGGGGGACTTGATGGGGAGATCGGTCCACTCTCTTCTTCCCTCTCTGTCTTTTTTCACCCATTGTCAATGAAGACACAACAATGAAGTAATAAGATACCTTAGTCAACTTGTGAGAATGTTTTGAATCTTGGGAGGCTTTTGGTTTTGGGCGTTTAGAAGCGTGCGAGTCGAGGGGATTAAGCGGATCTGGCGGTTTGGATTCGTTGCTTCGTAAATGGCATATGACGAGGAGTTTTTTTTTTGGAAAATGATGAGAAGGGAACGCGTCCTCAGGGTATTAAAAATTATCTTTTTCTTTCTGAGAATTTTTAAGCTTAAATGTTAAAGCTCAATTTTTGTTGTTCTAATACACCACTCGTCATTGCTCGTGTCGTTTCTGAAACAATGAGCCTCTTGACACTTTGATGAGCTTGTCGAGATGAGCTCATCCGCAAACACAATCGCATCTGAAGCGTAATCACGTTTGCTGATGCGATTATTCCGCGATTGACATCTGATCGTTTGTTGTGCGCATGTGCGAAAATCTTCTCATCCCAAAACAACGAAGTTTTGCAGATCGGGGAATTGTGGAAAGCGCCGACGGCAAGGATCACGTCGTCATTGACGTGGATGTTCGAAAAATTCCGGATGGAAAATGGCGATTAGTTGTGAAACACGTGCCCGAGAATCGATTCTTGATAGTTAGATATCCAACAATTAAAGAGTTTGAAGTTTTCCTAATTTTAAACTCCGAGACATGCTGAGTTTGTGTGTTCAGAAGATACCCAGACATCAGTTGGATGACGAAGAGGAAACATCAGTGGCTAAGAAACGAAGAAATGCTGACAATGGTGTGCCTTATGATCTAACCTAGTTTTATCAATGAGACTAATTTCCAGATTTCTGGACACACACCAACGATTATCATAGTGGTTTGAATATTTTTGACAAAGAAGGAAATGAGCTTGACTGGGATTATGAGCATGACACAAGGTGCATCATTCTTGAAAATTAGTTTTAACCGTTTGGATTTTTTCAAGATAATCCAAAAGTGTTATCAATTTTTCAAAAAAAAATTAAAATATTCTTAGATTTTACGACAAGAATGAGAAGACGAACCATGAGGAATCGGAAGTGAAGAAGAACGACGACAAGTTTGAATTGCCGAAAAATGTGAAAGTTCGCGTACGAAACACATTTAAATATTGTTTTACTCCTTCAATTAATAACGATTTTTAGGGTCGCGGAGCTGTTCGGTGTGGATTCTTGTTCAAAAAAGATGACAGTTGTGGAAAATCGTTAGCGTGCGACGAAGAAAAAGCAAAAAAACCGAGAATTTCGGGAGATGAAACTATGAAATATGAAAAAGTAAGAAAAATTTGGAGATTTTTGTTTGGGACTAGAAATGAATCAATATTTTCAAATAAGGTGTTTCGATTTTTTGCAGGATGATGTTCTTTCGCGAGTTCCCGCTGGTCGATTAGACGGCAGAGTCGAATTCCATTAAATTATTTTGTTTCATTATTTTCCAACATTCTTACAATTGTTTCTTACAAGTTGGTAGTTTGTCAAATTTTGATCGTTTCCAATAAATACTGTACTAATGATTTTTGAAGAATGGTAATTTCGTTGAAATCTCATAATCCATTATATCGAGTTATTTTCCGATTTATTCAATAAATGGAAATTTGAAGATGATGATGAGCTATGCCAAAAGACGTCGAGCAAAATATCGACGAATATTGAGAAAATTGTTAGTTTTGTATGGAATTCAAAGAAAACGCAAAATTACGAGGTGAGAATGATTTATTAAAGATTTTAATACGGGATGCGATAATTTATTCGTTTTAAAGAAATTTTGAAATATTTTCACAATAGTGGGCTTTGATAGATTTACGAGCATCTGTTTTTAAATGACGTTCAAATTTTGTTTCGATGGAATGTTTACATTCTTTTATTAGCATTTCCGTAAATCTCAATCCTTAATATTCCCTGCCTCTGAATAATCTGTTGCCGCGAGACTCATTTTCAAAAAGTGCATGCACCTTTAATTTCAAAAATGATTTCGACGTATTCATATTATGTAAAAAAGAACGAATTCAGAAGTAGTTGCCACTTGTTCCAATTCATTTTGAATTCGTTTTTTATTTTTTTAAAATTCGCAATTGATTGAGTTTACTAACAATTTTTGTGGAAATTTTTTGATATTCGAATATCAAAAAGTTAAAATTATTAAAAATTGAACAGAAAACTCCCGATAGCAATGGTTTTTAATAATTTTAGGAGTTTTCTATTTTCGGAAATGTTTTTTGGATACGGTTAGGAAAAAGAGAAACTCGCGCAGTTATCTCCTATGTGTCTGACAGCGGCCGATTCTGATAGCCAATTTTTTTTCGGAAACAGAAAACTCATCTTGTATTCATAGATTCGTTTTCAAAAAAATCTAACTTTCAATTATTTGTGTTTTCTTTCCAAAATCTGAATATACACCATTAAATTCTCACAGGTAGGACGGGTCAAATTAAGGTCCGAGTCTACCGAGAATTTGGATAAAAGTAATACAGAAGCTTCGAAAAAATAGCCAGTGTTGCCAATGGAAAAATATGTCAAAAGTTTATGAAATTTGATTTTCCACAAATCCCCCTTTTCATCCATTTTTAACCCATTTCTAGTGTGTTGTGTAAAGTGTCAAGTGAAGCCGAAATTAAAAAGTCTTAAACCAATTGATTAAAAATTCATAACGTCTTAATTGAGTTGAGCGTTGTAGCGGTTGATTCAAGTAGCTGTTTTGTTCTTAGAAACAGACTATACAGGGTGTCATTTAAGTTCCCGCACAACTTTGAAGACGTATATTTCTGAAACTAAAAGTCCAAATCAAACGAGACTCAAAATATTTTTTATCTATAGTACAACAAATAATTATCTATTAACTCTTTTCGATTCGGCCTTCTTTCGGAGCTATGACTTCACGGAGACGCTTCGGGTTGGATTCGACTGTGGTACGCAGGTATTCGATGGAAAGATTGTCCCATTCCGCCAGTAATGTCTTCTTCAGAGCCTCTACACTTGAATGGGGTTTTGCGTTGACCTTCTCCTGCAAGACCCCATCACGGGAAAGTCAAGCGGGTTCAGATCTGGGGAGCAATCAGGCCATTCGGATGACTTGATGAAGTCGGGAAAATGGGTCTGGCACCACTCCTGAGTAGTTTTGGCAGTAGGGGCGGGTGCTCCGTCCTGTTGAAAGACCCATTTCTGCCCACCGAAATGCGTTTGTGTCCAGGGTATCACATGCTTCTCCAAAATGTCCCGAACGTAGACTTCTCTGTTCATTTTCACCCCCTGATCCACGAAATCCAGGGGCACATCACGGTTGAGCAGATGGCACCGAAAACCATCACACTGGCAGGATGTGAGGCTGGATGATATGATCTTTCTTTCTCAGAAGCTTGCTGGGATGTCTGGGCAAATACTCGATGGTTTTGTGAGTTGAATGCCGCCTCCACAGTGAATAGCTTCTCGTCGGAGAAGACAGTGACGAGGTGTTCTCCAGACCGCGTGCGAGCAAGAAGTCGTTTTGCTTTTTCAAAGCGTTTCTGTTTGTTGACGGCCGATAGAATTGCCGCTTTTTGGACACGATATGGGGTCAGTACAAGCTTTGTTTTGACGATTTGTTCCATAGCAAAGATGCTCATTCCCATATCTGACGCCATCTTTCTCATGCTCCTGTGTGGGTTTCGCCTGATCCTCGATTTAGCGGCGTTGATCTTCTGAGGAGTGGTTACCGAGACGGGTCTTCCTTGTCTGGGACGGTCACTGGTTGTATTTATCTCCTTGAAACGTTTGATGGTGTCATAAACCGTTCTACGAGGCACACCGAGGCGTTGAATGATGTCTCTCGGGCTCACATTTTGCTTATGAAGTTCGATAATGGAAGCGCGATGGATGTTAGCCTTCGCCATTTCTCGGAAACACATCCGAATGAGATGAAACTTGGAAAGTAAGTAAAATATACCTTATTTAATAAAAATAAATTGTATTGGTGCACGAAAAGTGCGCCAGCCAAGCTCTTCATGGTGTCAAACTTTTGTGCGGGAACTTAAATGACACCCTGTAAATCCGGTTCACATAAACATCAACAAAAAGGGGTTTTATGAGAAAATGCCACCGAGATTTTGTGCATAGCCGTTTTTTTTCCGCATTTAGTCACATATCTTGAGCATTAGTTTATATAGTTAAAAAAACAACTTCTACCATAACCGACCGTTGCAATCCTACATCGTCGTGCGTTTTGCGGTTCGTGAGTTGTCATTTTTTCTTTCATTTGATCATGATGATACTAATGATGAACTTTCTGAAGGAACCGCGGCCAATTAATGTCACAATTTAGATCATTGAATTTGTAAAAACAATTTTTGAGAAACATTAACAAGATGCGAGCCGCAACGCGTCTTGCAGTGGCTTATTATTTTCTCAGAAACGCACTACTATATTGAAATTGATTTTCGAATATTCGATTTTATCTCGTTATCGAATCATATAGCATCTAAATTTATTTTGACAATGCCGCCTGCTTGCAGTTCTTTTTTTGAGGCAGACAACTTCCGGGATTCGGCTCGTAAAAATTTGATTAACGCGTTTTGGTCTTGCAATAACTCGCTGAGTATCAAACGTATAAAAGTGCAATTTTTATTACGTTATATTCAGATAGTCTTTAGTTTACTGGTACCTTATTTCCTCAAGATTTTCCGGGTCCCTTTACTCTATTCCAAATTCTTTGATTTTCGAGACCTTCTTGCTAAACAAATTTTTAATTTCTTCATCTGTGTCTTCATCTTTCTTCATTTATTGGTTGTTTGTGAATTCATAAATAGAACTTCTTTAATAAGAATATTTATAGAAAAGATATAATATGTGCGTTTCTATTTATGTATATAAGCTTCTCAACTTGGGGTTTGGAATTTTCGGAAGAGAAAGCTCATAAAAATGCCTGATTACGGAGGTGGAAAGCGAGAGAAAACGTAAAAGATGGAGAAAATGTGTTTATTTGCTTTCTTATTCCGAGTAATATTGAAAAGTGTGTTATGAAAATAAATTGAGAAATTTTTACGAATATTAATACTTATTTCTAAAGTCCTTGCAAGACCCTACCATAAAAAACATTATTTTCTAGAATAAAACAGGAAAGTATAATAATTTTAACATTATTCATGTTTTTTTAAATAAATTTTTGAAGCCAATTTTTCACTTTATTTAAAGCGATTTGAGAGTAAATGGCTACATAGATTTTTCTAAAAGTAAAGAAAATTTTATATTGGCTATTTCTGTGAAAATAAGGCGGCTACCAGAAACGACCGCTGTAATCCCTATGTCGTTATTTCATTGCGATTCGCATGCGGTCAAATTGATTAATTAATGCAATTTTCGGTAGAATAAAAATGGTAGCGAATTTCACATAATTATTAACAGCATCGTATGACTGCGACAAATGGCCGAAATGCTGAAAAATTTAGTGAGAGGTCTTGATGCGCACTGTGCGACTTCCAGTAGGACATTTTCCGCAATCCGGCGACGCCGAGAATACGATGGAATTAAATTCTTCAAAAAATAGTTCAAAATATCAATTTCAATCGTCCCATGATCGGCTTGAATCAAATAGGAACTAGTATTGATCTTTTTTAATACCCAATTATTTATTAAACTACAAATATACTGTCAATATCATTAGATAACGGTTTGCGTTTTGTACCAATCAAAAATTAAATTATTTCTTTTGGGCTAAGCGATTTTCCCTGCCTGAAAATGAAAATATCCAACTTATTAATTTTGTTGATCATTATGATTGATGGGCTCATTTCCGTCGACATATTGAAGCTCACAAGAATTTCCGGTTTGAATCTATTAGAATGTATGATGCATCTGCTTGCCTGATTAGTATTCCGACGTACCATTTCCGTAAACATTTCGTCAAGAATTTCGAAAAATATAAAAGTGAGTATTAACGAAAAAAAAACGCAAATATTTTGGGAACTCGAATTAGATTAAATTACCATTTTTTGGTAGGAAAATTTGAATCTGTTCCATAATGGAATAGTTATTTTGAGCTAAACAAGTATTGTTGGCGTCAAACGACTTGACGAAATTTAAAAAATTATTGGCTATGTGCCAGTGCGTATCAAAGCAGCGAGAAGTACACAAGACTGCGTACATTGCATTATAGTGTACGCGCATTTAATATTCAGTCAACGATAAATTTAAATCTACACTGGTTTCACGAATTTGAAGGCTCCGCCTCTCTTCAGTCGTTTGACGCCGACAATACCTCTTTATATATTTTTGTATTTAAAACATTTTAAAATTTTTATCCTCCCACAGTAACCGTGGAATAATCAACAAATTTGGTAACGAAGTTTTCCGCAATGCCGAATACGTCATAAATTCGCGTCTTTAAATTGTTTTAATTTTTGGAATTAAATAAACAGAGAAGATACTTGAAATGAAATTCGATAT